GTTTTTGGCTAAACAAAATCTGCGATTAGCGTAACTCAAAATCATAGCATGTAATGTGAAAACACTGTACAGTAGCATTTGTTGCCTTATATTATGACACACACAAGAATGATTCTTCATGAATGAAGTATGTTTTTATTGATTAATTCATTATTATCATAAAAGACAAAACAAACAAAGAAACTACATAAGTTAGGTAACCTAATATTAACTTGGTGGAAGCTACTGTAGCTAAACCCAGTGATGTCATCTGTATTTAAAACACTCAAATACACATTTTTATGAATGTGTTGTGAAACAACATTATGTTACCGTTTCTATCAGCATATAATAATAATAATTATAATAATAATAATAATAATAATAATAATAATAATTATTATTTAATATTAGTAGTCCATTTATTTAATTCTAAAAACCAGCAATAAACAACGTAATCATAAAAAAGAGTAAAACAGTGAAATGTGGATTATTAAACATTAGGACTCTCTCTCAAAGTTCTGCTTCTTCACCCTTTTTCAGCAGAATTTTGAGCTTCTCGGCCTGTTTACAGCAGAATTTTCAGTATCTTCATCTCTTTTTAGAAGAAACTTCAACAAGTTCATCTCTTTCCAGCAGAAAGATCAGCTTTTTCCACCTCTTTTCAGCACAAATCTCAGCCTCGTCTGCGCTTTTCAGCAGAACCTTCAGTTTCTTCACCTCTTTTCAGTACAATTTTCAGTTTCCTCATCTCTTTTCAGTCACCTGAGAACCAGTTTGGCTCAGTGAAATGAGCAGCTGCCTTGAGACCAGGTAGCGCAGGTTCAAACCCTTCTACACAGTGTTTTCAGCAGATAGTTCTCCTTCATCTGCTGTTTTCAGATCGCATAACATGGCATTCACACTGCATTTTCACAGGAAATGCAACTTTTTCTAGTTATTCTAGTTACTCCCTTTTTTTGCTGCTTAACTACTCCCTCAGTTTTCATCCAATTTTCACCATTCAAATTTTAACCTGTTCCGCTCTTTCTGTTTATGACGGCTATATCTTTTGGTGGTCATAACCTTTATACCTTGTGAAATACTAAGCTTTTTATGCCATTTTTT